CACTTGTGTACCATTAGTAAGATTCCAGGCCCCCTTAACAGCGAGCTCCCTGCTGAGCATTAATCCCTGGCCATCTGTACTCTGTAATAGCCCAGTCTGCAGTGTGTCTGTAGCCCTTGCCCTGTCCAGCACTGGTCATTAATCTCCATCAGCGGAGAGCTCAGCTGCAGGGCTCAGTCTCTCACACAACGTGTGCCTGCTGCAGTAGAAGCCTATATTTCCAGGGCTCCTAATGTCCAAACCATTTTATTTTTACTTGAACAGCAAGCAAATCGCTTGAAAGAATCGATTTAAAATATCTTGATCAGGGCCGTAAAGCTTTATTTTATGTGTTGCCTTTAAAAGTAATAATCTCAAAGTGATTAATAAGATGAATATCTGTTTGTCTCATGTTTTAATAACAATGAAGGTTTCATAGCACAGCCACAGAACACGGTTAAATACACCATGGTCATCATTGAAACAGAGGAATGAACATTTCTGTTACATGATTTTTTTAGTTTTTTCAAGCCACTGTCTTCTTGTGTAACTCAAAAAAATGCCGTCCTCCAAGATTCATGCCACACTCCTCAGCTTGTTTTGGGAAAGAAAATAGACGCAAGTGGGAATGTTGCACAGTGGTAATACAAAATGTATGAATGCACCCCGGTATTTACTGCGGCATGATGATGCTGTACCTTAAAGAGAAACCTGGAATGTTATCCATGCCACATACTTTGCTTGATGCAATCTTTCATGTCTGGCTGCCCCAGTGCGAAGAGTTAGTACTCAGAAAGGCACACCTGGAACCTCTGAGCACAAACACAGCTGCAGTTCTGTATTCATCAGCTAAGCAACTTACAGCATTCATTGCGAGGCTGCAAGTCAAAGGCAGAATGTGGGTTTTAGCATAGTACTGTTGCCACAAATACGAACATTTTTACCATGACAAATTAAAGGTTCTCCCCATGAATTTTGAGTGGCGAATTCCTTCAGTCGTGAACAGTGCTCCGGTTCAGAGCTCAGCTGTGTTGTCGAGAGCTCCTGACAGGTCAGGCAGCAGTGATCCTGTCTTGGCTCTGTTATCCAGCCTGGTACCTGTGGCTGTGAGCTATCAGTCTGCTGTGCTGTCTGCTGGCAGTTCCCCGACAGTGCCTGACGCTCGGTCAGGAGTGAAAGGCAGTCAGGCTCTGTTAGCTTCGCGCTCGGGAAGGTGACGCTGCTGTACCCAAAGATGGAACTGCATCCTCAGCTTGGCAGGAAGCCCCGAACTCAACTGTTGTTATTCTCCTTGAGAAATTGGTATGTTTCGGAAGGATAATGGTAAAGGGAGGCCTGGACTTGTTTTAAGGGAGCCTGATTTCTCCTGCCCATCTTGATAACTTTCAAAGGCAAAGACCGTGCATTCGAAAGCAACTTTGACAGGGAGGGCTTTCTTTCTGTAAAATGTGTTTCCCTCACGTAATGCATATACTTCTTTATAAATGTTTATTTGTCTTACTCAGTTTATCTTGGTGATAACCTGTATATGACTTATCAGCTATATATTATGTGTATAATTAGGATAAACTTAACAGGTTTGCATACCTCTGGGATATGCTCTTAGCCAACTACAGAAACCTCCCTCCCCACATACTGCACATACACACACCTACACATTTGAGAAGGTTCGGCTAATTTGAAGAGATCAAGACACACTTGTTTCACAAAGCAATTGCCTTTGCCAAAAGCTGACAACAGGCTACAGTTGACCCTTTAAGAGTTTTAGTTGCGATACTAAAAAAATCATTTTAATAACTGAAATCATGTGTCATTTGCATGACATGCATTCTGCAAAATATTCTGTATGAATTAAAAAATATGAAAAATTACTCCCTTATTACATTCCCCAAAGGTTTTCACTTCAAAATGATTCTTGTAGAAATACCTACCGGTACAAGTGTCAGCACCCTTCCAACCCCAGCCCCCATTGACAGTCAATGTCCAAATACCATAACCCCAGATTTTATCTGAACTTTTAAAATTTTTGAAACACCCATATTTTATAACCTGACAATATCATAATATACTGTACTCCAATGCCGATGTCCTCATTTGTCTGAGTTAGAAGTAAAGTAAATCTGAGTGATTTCAGCATTTACATAAGATTCAAGGCCATGTTTCCTGAAGTTTTTGACCAGGCTGTTGGCCCCATACAGACCCCTGAGGCACACCAGAACAAACAGCTGTCACAGCAGAAGTACAATACCCAAGTGATACAAACTGTGTCCTGTTACACAAATAAGAAAGCAGTACTGGCAAGTGTTACAGATGTTAAAAGAATTCGGAGTTTTTACAGAGGGCTTCGTTATCAATGGTGTCAAAGTCAGCGCTCACACTGAGCAACACAAAAGCCCAGGAACCAGAATCCAGACATAAAAGCCATTTTGTCGATTCGGACCGAGCTTAAATTGTAATGTTTCAATAATGCCTTGTTCAAAACTAGATGAATGAAATCCTGAAAAGGGTGGATTTTCAGTACGTTCTGAAGGCTTCGCCTTAATTTCTAGGGGCAAAAAAATTCACTTAATGGCAGAAATTGTATCCTGAAAGAAACGCACGAATACATTGCACAGCTCAGTTGTTTCGTCAATAGCACGAACCTGGACACGGTTTCTTCAATCACGTTTGCTAGTCAGGACGTTGCACATATTATTCAATCCATTATATACAGGTATATATATTATTCAAGTAAGCAGATAAATCTAAAGCAGATAATTCTAAAAAAAAACTATTGACAAATCTGTCATCTTAAACATAAGCATTAAAATGTTTCACTTCCTTGACAATGGGATTTAAAAACATATTTCACACAGTAATACTGTAGGTGCTTCAGACTCCTGCCTTCAACCGTATGGTAGTCTTATCGATAGAAAGGTAGCATAAACTGGCTATTGATTTTTTTTAAATAAAATCACTGTGCTGTCGCGACCGCGTTTGTAAGCGCGCACACCAGAGAACATGCGCCACCCTCTACAGCAACAGCATAACGAAACTAAAACTCCCGAGCGCTTCAAATTGCTTATTTAGACTGCACATAAAAACTAGTCCGAAACACTAACAACAAAGCACTTAATACTGTGGTGGTAGTACAGATACACAATTGACTGTAGGCTGAAATTTGAGCACGATTGTGTTGCAATCGGAAAAGTCGAAGCGCAGTTATGAGCCGGAGGGCGCTCCGGTTTCAGCAGCGAGCGGCTGGCACTGGTGTGTCGGGATATTCGCTTACAGGACTCACCTCTGGTCCCGGATTGTGATTACAGACTGTTTATTTAGTGTGTGCTGCTACCGGCACGAGCGGCTCCCAGCCTTTGGAATGACGCCGTCAACGCGTGCTCTTGGACTGTATGTGCGTGTGTGCGCTTTTTAAACATATTTTAAAAACATTAGTAGCAGAGGCTGAGGATAACGGCAGGCACAATGCAAAGAGGAGACGCGTTTCCCCAGAAATCTGCACAAATAATGGTATCAACGGATACAAGTGAAAACAAAGAAAAAACACCCACCAAAAACACGAAGGAATAAAATCGGGTGGCGCGTCTAATAAAGACGAAGAGCTGTACTTACTTTATCATGTCATAGCTACCTGAAGAGCTCGCTCTGCGCTCCGGTTTTGTGTGTGGGATCATGTGACAGAGAGGGTGGAATTTGACACCAGGAGGTTTCAAAAATGAGGAGCAACACATATCTGTCTTTGGAGCTGGAATTGTTGCAAAAATCCGTAGTTAACACGGACCAGAAGGCAGTTTCCGTTCCAAATTGCTCTCCCGAACACCCTGGGACAGAGGCTGCAGTAACCTCCGACAGTGACAACTACCGCACGGCGCGCCCCTCGGCTCCTGCCTCATTACTGGCAACTTAACGTGCCGAGCGCCGTGTACATCTGCGGGACAGGAGTTTGACAGGACAACGGCAGCATCACCTCTGGCTGAAATCGGCAACAGAAATTCGGATTACTTGCAGCTGATTCTATCCCTTTGTGTGCGCGTTGTATTGTAAGGAATCATTTACTGTATATACCCATCCAGGGGGCACGTCTACCTGGAATGAAGCTTTGTCGCCGTAGGATTGCTGTATCAACACGTTTGCGACTTACAACACTTCTTTTCTGTCAGGAAACGAAGTTCTGGAGAGGTAAGTGTCCACTGCGTTATCCTGACCAGCGACGTTAATTTGCAAATCCTACTTTTTTTTCCGCCCCCTCATACAGCAGGTTCGTCCGCGGCATCAGTGTGAATACCGGAGAACTTGTTTCAGATACACGGTTAAAAAATTCAAGTCGCCCAAAATGGTAACTAATTCTTGCGAATGCCCTGCCGATCCGTGCTTTCAATATGAAGTTCTAAGTTGTAAAAAAACAACAGTGGCCCAACAGAGGAGTGGACTACCCAGACTGATATTCGTGTGGTCGTGCTATTGAAACGGGGAGTGGGTTAAGAACAGAAGATCGCAGTCGCTGGATGTACTACAGAGATACCCTCCTTATGCGAATCATTTCGTGTAGCCCTCGGGCATTACAAATGAATACTGCTTAATGTCAGCCCGTCTGGTTGCTAATCTGCGCTTCTAAAAAAAGAGAGGAATATCCAGAATATCTGAGATCGTGACAGACTGAAAACTGAAAATGCATTCTGCACTTAGGGTGGTGGTGGGGGGTTAAACTGTTGGGAAATATCACTGTTTCAAAACACAAGACGCGCTGCCTTCCAGTTCCATAGAAGTAGTTGCTCTGTGCTGCACTTGAGAGGAAAAGCGAGGCACCCTGGAGCGAAATTAAGCATAAAAAAACAGCTAAACCTGTACATTTGTGCATCGCTTTCTCGAAGATAATCTGTGGAAATTTTAGCAAATGGAAAGTCCCCTTTCCTCTTTTTTGTGCCGGTAAAACTTACTTTCGTCTCGGCTCCTAAGTAGAATACGCAACGCCGCCAGTTCTGAACTGATTTGTATGAGCCCGGTTGCACCGAACATATTAATTGGGCAGTTAATTAGAGGAATTTACGGAATCAGTTTGGTGTTCTGATCTTGAATATAGCCCCGACTTTACAGCACAATGCATAAAAATATGGGGTTTTCAAAATCGACCTAAAATCATAAGGACCGAGAATCACAATGCATTTCACATTGATCTGTATTCTGAAGATAGCAATGCTACTATATTAAAGACAGTGTTATTGATGCTGTTGCCAAGTATATTCTCTACTTTAGAATTATTTTTCTCTTTGCAAACTTGTTTTTTTTTTTATTTCTTTCTCCTTGCAGAGAACACAATATAATACTACACCTTCATTTTCAAGGGCGCCGCTCAGCTGTTTCTTACATTTAAATAACTCTCATCAGCCGGGAACTTCAGTCTGGAGCCCAACACCTACTTGTGCGCTGTTTCGACACCAAGCGCCGTGTGTCGGAAAGGTGGAAGATATTATAAATATACATATTACTGAAAAGAAGAAGAAAGACGGAACCGGGCTTGGTTACAGAGGGAGGCGCCTTAGCGGTCTGAAACCGAAGCCTTTTGAAAGTCTACAACCGCAGTGGATCGGCCGAGCAGCCCCTGACCAAAATTACAGCAACAAAACATCCAGCCTGACAGGCAGGGGGGAAAGCGCGGAGGGCGAATACATCATGCTTCTGTGAGGGAGCTCTCCATGTGCGTTTTACACAGCCGGGAGATGCGGAGCAGCGGCGGAGAAGGAGGGGCACCCAGAGGTGCGGATCGGTGCGGGACGCGCTGGGGACGCACCGGGACGCGAGGAGGACACGGTAACGCCGAGCTTGGTCGCTTTAAGTGGTTTGGGGACCATCTTAACAACTAAAGATACCCTTTCGCCTTCAGCAGGGCAATCGGTTCCCATTGGGGGCTGTGGGTTTTGTCGTGTCCTGCAACTGGAACGGCGCTCATCTGGCGCGTAACCGCACGTTTTTCCCAGAGGGCGACAGAGAGCACCTGTTGAGCATCTACATTCGCTTCGTTGTGCTGCTGACAGTTGATGATTTAGATGGAGTATAGTTGTATCTTCACACGAAGCAAAGAATGATCCAATATTACTTATACATTTATATATATATATCACTTTACTATAAGTATCATGCAGCCTTTGTTTTATGACGGAGTGGTGCTGGCGTTGTAGTCTAAATAACAAATATCTAGCGTAATAAATAACGTAACAATTCGCTGAATTATTTGTGCTTCGGCCGCACTCCGACATGCCGGGCACGAGTCCCAGGAGGGAACAAGGTGTCTTAGCCGTTGCAGCCCGGTTGTGTGTCGAGGTCTGTCGAGCGAATAACCGATGCATCGTGCCGAGAACGTGTTTCTTGCTTTTCAGTAGCAAGAGCGTGTGTCCCGATTAGTTAAGAGTCCCCGTTTGCAGATTTCACCCTGGTTGAGACCCGCCAGAGCCCCATTAACCTATCATTTCCATCTGTCTTCGGGGAAGTTTTCTTTTTTAAATTAATGAGGTAATCATCTCAAAAGCACTTGTTTACTTTAGGAGTCGGCGTTAGCGAATTATGGATTTGCCGGGGACATATCTTTCAGGATTTCTAGCAAGTAATAACTTTAACTCACGTTCAGTTGATTTCTTTCAACGAATATTTTTTCATGTGTATTTGTAAAAGGCAAATTCTTATCGCAGTGCGCTGACTTGGCCCCGGCAGTTTCTCAGCACAAAGCCTTCGCTTTCGTGAACTCGGCGTCCAGTGCCCATTCAGATCGGAGGCTAAAGGAATTTTATCTTGGTGCTTGACGTTCCTCCGAAATATGAAGGTGGTAAAACACTTCAATCTCCTTCTGCACTTGACGCAGTATTCAACATCCCTGTGCTCCGTTTACAAATATCCAAAAAGGCTCCTTCATATGACCTAGTCTCACCTGTCATCAGTCGGGTTTGCTTTTTCACTATTGCGTCGGTGTTACCAAAAGTTGAAAACGCCATTAAATCTAAAACGTTTTGTATTTCAGTCGTTTTCCTTACCGTGTTGTATTTCAGTCGTTTTCCTTAGGGAAAAGCATGGCGCATTCAGTTAACATTCAGCGTGACAGGCTGTACAAATGTGAGACCTGTACGTATCTGAATGTACTTATATGTGCAGATGTGTACATTAGTGAAAGAGTGTGAAGTACGAGCCAAAAAGCAGAGCTCTTGTAGCTGCCTTTAAATTTGTTTGCCTTTTAAATAAGTTCTGTCTTGGCCTGGCACAGTATTGTGGATGCTATCAAAGAGAACTTGGGGGTAATGTGTTCTTGAGTAGGTGGTGATCAAGTTTAAAGCAGGATAATACATGCATTTTAATTTAAATAAGAGCTACCCTACCACCACATGCACTCAAACACATACTGTACACACACCTCTGTAATAATTGTTTGAGCAGAGTACGTCAAATTTTCAAAGGGCCTGACCCTATCAGCAGATTGACGAGGAAAAATAAACACTTCTTAAGCATTTCTTTTAGAATTAGTAACAGTGGTCCAGTCAGTATTGCAGGTCATGAATAAGGAGTCAGATTTACTTATTGATCTGCAAAAGAGGGAAGACACTGATGGTGTTTGAATAACCCTGGGCATTCTAGTACAACATAAAAAGCTTTTAGAGCCATATACTGTGGCTGCTGAATTTTCCCCTGTTCTTATCTGTATTGAGTCTAAATCCAAAGGCTCTTGATACTTCCTTTTTGCTTTTACAGTATTTTATTGTTTGCACAGAGTAGGTTATAGGCTATAATGTATTAATTTAAAAAAGCTTGTAATTCTGAACAGGAGAGCATGTTTTTAATTTTAGATAACCATAAATACATAACTATTTACAATATTACATTTGTTTTGCTGTTTGCAAGTTTAGTGTTATTGAAAAGCAAGGGATGAGCAGGACCATGCTGGTTTGCAGTGACCCAGTATGTGACGTACAGTATATGCTCCATAAAGATCATTAGTATTGTCTCCAAGGCCTGCTGAGAAATACCACACATTATGTGTATTGGGTTGAAGCAAAGCCCCTGCTATATGCCAAGTGCTTTGAGATCCTTTCAGAAAAAAACTCTAAGCAAATAAAAGATTAATAAGTGTGAATTGTAAATATTAGTTACTATGTGCGGTATCTCAGAGGGACAAATCAAGTATACTAAGCATGTGCATTTTGTCATGCAACTGCTAACACATAGTGGACGTTTTTAGCAGTTTATCTTAGGCAATCCCACCAGATTCTAGTGTAGCGAATGAACTTTAGGTTTGCTGTATTTTTTAACACAATAAACAAATTGTTACAGAAGCAAAGGGAATCAACTATTTTACACCTCAAGGGCACGCTGAAGGTTACAATTGCAGTACTTGCTCTCACCATAAAATCATGTTTCTTGTGCAGAATCTTAGCTGACCCAACAACCTACAGTGTGTTAAAGTATTGTTCAAGATTGAAATCGTGTTCAAGAATCCAATCTTTTATTTGACTGCAGCAGTTCATCCAAATACAGTAAATTACATTGTGCTTAATAGCACGTCTCACTCGACAGGTTAAACGTGTCAATCATGGTCAAGGTTATTTCTGTTAAATAACAGGAGTGTACAGTGCAGGTCGTTGCCTCAAATTAGTCTGAGCATCATTTGTCGAGCTCACACATGGTAATGGGGAGCAGTGGGTTTTTTTTAATTGGAACCCATGAATGCAGAGACTTGGGCAAACCAACTACTGCTGTAGAGTTTGTAAAGAGAGGGGCATGCTGGCTGTTGGAAGCTGATTCAAACCATTCCTAATTGTGGGGTTCTGTGCTGAAGTTTGGAGGTAAGCTACATTGCACCACAATTCATGCACAGATGTGTCCTTTAAGTTGAAAACACAGCCCGTGAATCATAAATAACCTGCTTTCATTATGGGAACAATCAGGCAAGAGTACATAAAGGATCTACATAATAGAGATATTTTATATTCTTTCTAATTATCAGAGTGTTGATATTACCTAATTTGTTTTTTATATACTGAAAGCATTTTTAATGTCTTTCAGTTTATGTTCAAGCTTTTAGTTGAGAAAAAGTGCTACATAACTGCCTTTAAGAAGTGTAACATTGCTATTGTATGCAAAATGCAGTGTCTCTGATTTGTGTAGAAAGCCTTACACGAAATAACCATTTTTGTATACACAATTATTAATGTTTATTTGACAGAACCCCACATCCTTTAATTTCCTTGTTAAAGTAATGTACAGGTCATTCTCTGACTGTCGGCAGCACATCTCCTTAGTGCAGACAAAGGTTAAAAAAGAGGCCGAACACAACCAATGGCAAATAAAAAATGCCTTCACGTGAATGTGGTAATTCATCTGTAGTATAACATGACTGCAAAGGCAAACAGTGGGAGAAAAAGAACAAACGACAGGGGAAAAAACTCCCTGGATGTGATACATTTCACTATAGCAACAAGATCAACAAACCTTTTTCATCACAGCTCATTCTAGTGTGACTTTTATTGTATTGGTGCAGACAGGGTGAATGGAGTTTCTCTTGTACAAAAAGGACACATACAAACCTTTACTCCCTGCCAGTGGACTAAAATGTTTTGGTCTCCTTGTCGCGGCGGTAGATGATTCTCTGCGCACCTTCGAATGCGATGGATGTCTCTGTTCCTGCTCTATTTTTCAATTGGAAAACTGCGTTTTCTGCAGGCTCATGTCTCCTTCGCACACACACACGCTCCACTGGGTCCCAGAAATGGCACACTCCACTCCGCTGACTGAAACCCTATCCCAGCATCCCACTGCCAGCCCAGTCTGCTCTCCTATATTCCCATTTAAGGAACGGGTTAGCGGGACATGAAGTACATTTTCCACCATTTGTTTTTGATTTCATCACATAAAGCCTTTCGTTTATTAGACGAAGAGGAGTTTTCCAGCGTGCATTTCCCAGGAATTTAATTAAATGGTTTTCTTAAGAGTTGAAAGAGAAAAGGCTACTGTTAAATGAGACCGTGTCCGTCACCCTGAAGTGCGAAGTGAAGGTTTGAAGGGCGAGGCGCAGGGAGATCTGGAGCCCGTTATCAATCATGAAGCCGACTGACAGTAAGGGCCAGAGGTCCAGACCTGTGGGGTGTGAGAGAAAGCATCGTCCCCAACTTCAAACGCTTGACTCACGAAACCCATGTGAGCCCAGAAACGTTATCCAGTGGGTTGCAACTGTTCCTCAACATCTGTGTTTCTCAGAGTTGTAGAGTAGAATATAGAACACAGGCCACAAACTACAACACCACCGTTCAAATGAGAACATTCCCATCAGGTATCATTTTTTATTTTTAATTTTTTGTTAAAAAATGTTTTTCCATGTAATGTTTGGTTTACCTTCTCATAATAATAATAATAACAATGATAGTAATAATACCTTTTGTATTGTAAAATAATAGTTTTGTTTCTATGCTGTAGGTCTTGTGTTTAGAAAAGTATTTTCTGTGTTATAGTATATCATACGTTAGTCATGGGAAGTGACATTGCTCTTTGATTTTCACAGATCCTCTACTGGGTAAATGTGATCTATACGTTTGCCAGGCAGGATATTGAATGAGACAGGATAAACAGAAAACAAACCTGGGTTCCATCCTCAGGGCAGAGTGCATTAGAAATTGTGAGGGTGAACACATTGTGCTCCAGGATGTGGACTGTAAGCCAAGTACAGCCAGTGAACTGCGTGTGTTGGTTCTATCGGAGAGAGGAGAAGAGGCCACAGCTCTGTGGAGTAGTGGTGAGGGTTCGTAGCTGGAAAGTTGTGTGACTGCTCCTGTTGC